TAAACATTAATTACTATTGTTGCTTATTGTGTCCAAAGTTCTATCCCACTGAGGACTTAATTCTTTGAAGTGCTTTCCTATGATATAAAATTTGACTATGGGATCTATGCATCAGATAACAGAAGCATTTTATCTCTACAATTCTACTTTTCTTTCTTTCCATATCTGCTAAGTAATCAAAAGTCAGAGCCATTTTGTGAGGGTTCCTGATGCTTCTGCCCTGACCGGGGACCCTCTCATCTCCTCTACAGAGGAGTCCACATATTCCCCTGAAAATAGCAAGTGTCTAAATGACGTGCAGTGATTTGTTTATTTTATTTCACTCCATCTCCTTGGGTCTAGCCAGGCAGTATTAAAGCCAAGCCATCCAGCAATTGGGTGTTGTCAATTTGTTTAATGATTATTCAAGAGCAGGTGATTTCTATTAGAGTGCAAGTGACAGATTGCCCATTAGCTGCAAATGTGTGCTTTTCAGACCAGAAACTCCTGGCAAATGGGGAATTAGAGCTGGCTCATCTGCCTTCCCAGATACCTGCATCACCTCCCCTGCCCCGGCAGCAAAATATATTAGGCAGCAATCATGGCTGAGCCAGGGAACTAGGCTCTGACTGTTCATTTCCAATAGCTGCCTGCTCCATTAGCCAGAGGTAGAAAATCAGACAAAGGCTTAAAATGAAGAGCCCTGAAACCAAGACAGATCCCAGTTGTTCTCTATGGGAGAAGGAGGCAGAGAGGCCTGAATGACAGCCCTAACAGAACCATTGTCTTTGTGGGAGACACTAATGACACCTCCACCTTTCTGTGCAGCCCCATGTTTGAGTGGGAGTGGTCTGAAGGCTGTCCTGCCTGTGTCTGGATTTCAGTGATGGACTATGAGCCTCTTTTGATTAGTATCTTTCTTGTAGGGGAATCTGCAGTGGAAAAAAGAACATAAGATATTTTGAGTAAAGAAGCAACAAAACATTATTTTTAATTTTATGGAAAAAGGTAAAACAAAATTTCATAGCAACACATTAGGAGAAGATCAATAGCTAATACAATTATGCTGTTATCTTTAAAGTAGTCTCTCAGTATGCAAGATATGGGCATAAAAGATTTTCCAATTGATATGGCCACAGACAAGGTGATGGACTATTTTTAGTCTTTGGCATGCAGAGAGCCAATTTTTCCAGAACCATTTAATAAAGAGCCTGTCTTTCTTCCAGTGAACCTGTTTGGCCCCTTTGTGAAAGATATGGAGGCTAAGTATGTTTGTGGTTGTTTCTGCATTTTCTAATCCATTCCATTGATCCCCAGGTCTGTTCTCTTCCCCAGTACCATGCTGATTTTAACACAGTAGCTCTGTAATATACTTTCAAGTCAGGGATCGTGATGCCTCCTGCCTTGCCTTTGCTGCCCAAGAGTATCTTTGGTATTTTAGGTCTCTTCTGATTCCAAATGAATTTTAGAAATGCTTTCTATAGCTCTTCTGAGATATACTAATAGTGTTTTGATCAGCATTTTTGAAAATTTAGCTTCCATTAAATTTTTGAATCCAAGGATAGCGAACTAGAGCAAGGGTTAACTTTGCAAACTACGTGACAGTCTCCGACCCAGGAAAATTCACAGAGGAAGGTCAGCCTGGCAGCCGCGGAGGCTGACAAGGCTGCTGTGCACAGCCCTGAGCACCTGTCCTTCCAGTGTCATTGAAGGGAGCAATGCCTTTGCCAAGGGACAGGCAGAGGCTCTCTTTTTGTCTCATTGTTTCTCAAGATTGCATTTCCCCCACTCTAGTTACTCTGGTCAAGAACTGCGAACTGCAAAGACTTTTTTCTTTTTTTCTTTTTTTTCATACCTCAAGGCGGGGAAAAAATAATGCTTTTAAAAAGGACAGTGACTGGGGGTGGGAGGGGAGAGCTGTCAGAAGACAAATGTTAGTCAACACTACCCTCTGGTGGCAGAACTTGCGAAGGTCAATCATTGCTTAAAAACGGAAATTTTAAGAGTACCGTTTCCTAGTCGGGAACGGGTGCTAATTGCTACCTATTGCAAGACAGTATCAGCGATGGAAGGAAGAGCTCGCTTTGGCAGAGATGGCCATTTGGGCTTTCTTGAGAGCACACGCCATCTGGCCACCGCATCGCTGCGCTGTCCCCTTTCGCTATCTCTCATAGGCAGAATGGCCCCAATCTTTATCTCTTACGTAGCACTCTCCCAGCCCCATCAGCTTAATGTTGGTTAGAAGTGAGATTAGAGGATAGTTTAAATGCTCAGGAGGCTCAAAGATTTTAGTTAGCAAATATGTTTACTATTTATCCTGATGACAACTCATCATCTTTTTCCCTCGAAAATCATAGACATTTGGATGGATCATGGTAACTCCAATCTGCTTTCACAGACTTAAAAACAAATTCCTTTGCCTGGTTCTTAGGTTCTTCCTATATAAAAGGAATAAGTAGAACTAGAAGCTAAATAGATTTAATGCTCAATAATATTTGTACCATACAATATACAGTTTTTCACATTATGTTTCAAAATCCTTCAAGATTAAGCTAAAAAAAAATAAATGTTTGATACAAATCGCTCTGCACCACAGGCATTGTATATAAGGGCAGTTTTACATGAATGCAATTAAAATCACAGTGTGGGTGAAGAAAGTAATGCCAGAAGAATTCCGGGAGGATTTCTCTTGATAAAGAGGAGAGCAGAATAGTGACCGGCTTAGTCATTAACCAGTTCTTTGCCTCACTTACATCAATGCTGTATTTTCTTTAAAGTGTGTAGGTTACAATAGATTTCATTTTTTGGAAGTCATTTTGTATCTCTGTCATTTTAGTTTCACTCAGGAGATAATTAGAAGGCTACCATGCTATTCCCAACCAAAGATGGAGCTGAAGGGCTATGCTTTTTCATATCCTGCCAAAGCCTGCCAGGGGAGGTGCAGTGTGTTCCCATGCCAGCTCTGTGGCAGCTGATACAGTAAACAAGGCTTTCATCCTCTATGCTGTTAGTGACGACTGATTTTTCACCTAAGCTTCATGTTGGGACTCTAACAAATGCACGGTTCACTAAAATCAGGATTTTGGAAGCAGACACTCATAGCTCACATGGGAATAATGCAACCAGCCGCTGGGACAATTCTCAGTGATTCTCTGCAGCCCTGAGAGAGGGACAGTAGGGTGATAATAATCACATCCCTGGAACCACGCAGGCCAGCACCGCCACAGCTGCTGCCAGGGGCTCAGCTCCAGTGCCATCGCCCTTGCCCACTCCTGCTGGTGACCATCAAGCATTCTGATAAGATCACCAATTGGTGTTCAGCCGGGCTGATTGCTGAAGGGGCTGATTGCTGAAGGGGCTGATTGCATTATTCATTCCCATGAAAAGATTTGTACAACTCTCAAAGAGCCATAAAGATTATGTTTTTTAAAGCCTCTACAGTCATCAACAGTTTAATTTATCCTTCTATTCTTTCAAGGAAAAATAGACTCACAGAAGATAAACAGAAAGAGCTAAACACAAAGCAGGTCTGGGTGAGGCTTCAATAGTTCAAAAGCCCGGATGTTAGTAATGGTCAGGGCACCACTCTGCATTTCTTACTTTATGCTTTCAGCTCCCCTTCCCAGGTATGTTCCTCCATCTTATTTTTAAAACAACAGCAAAAACAAACAAACAAACAAACAAACAAAAAGGACAAAAAACATACCACTTGTTCCTCACTATGTAATTCCCTATGAAATACCTCCATCTACTGGCCAAAAAAGACTCATGACTTTGTACTCCAAGTTTTAAAGACAATTCTCCAAACACTTCAGATTAATAAAATGTCAAAACATTAATGAAATTTAGGAAGTTCTTTACCTCACACTTAGAAAATCAGTCAGGTAAGATTTCCAAGTCCTTGAAACACCTAGAGGCACACATAAGCAATTCAGAAACACCTAGAATGAGGAAAATTCTGGAGTACTGCACAATGCAAATTAGTGACAAAAGTTAGTATTGGAACACCAGAAGAAAATGTTATCGATTAGCTATCTATTTATTTATCTATCTATCTATTTATCTATAGAGAAGAAATAATAGTTTATCTTGCAAACCTGTGATCGTATTTCCGATCAGAGCACATCGTGAAAAAAGCTGTGGCTTGAGACCTGGAGTCAGAGCCAGGCAGTCAGGTAACCGCGCTCCTTCTGGGAATCAGCGCTGTCTGGTGATGTGACTGAAAAGAAAGCAAAGTCCATTCCAAGTTCATTTACTGACACATGCTCAGTTTTAAAGAAAAGCACTCAGAAATGATGCTTTTTCCTTATTTGTTCATTTTTAATTGGAACTATTTGAGACATGAGGTTAGACAGTGGAACATGATAAGAAGCTTACTGTCTATTAAACAAATGGCTAAAGCTGTAAATAATTCCTAGCATGGGGCCGCTGGGAATATTGAAAACACTGATATGACTTTTTTTTTTTTTTTACTAATGAGGAAACAAGTACTCAGAAAACATAAGAAACTTGTCCAAAGGGCCAAAGCTTCCAAAGTATATCAACAAATTTTACCAAAATTTATGGATTTTTAAATATGATTATTAAGTTTATAATATCATTCATGTCAGAGCTATTAGTTTCTAAAATCTACAGTGACTCAGAGGTACACTTTTGTAGACATCCACCTACAGGATTAAAATTCCAATCACAGCACAATGTTTGTGGTCTATCCAGTTAGAATAGGCTTTCTAAGGAACAGAGTTTGGGACAGAGCAGTGCTTTTTTCAAAGTGTGATTGTCAATAGATCACAATCTAAATAATCATGAATAGATCATATTCTCCCAAAAGAAAGCTTTCTACAAAGTCAGTGATTATACAATCATAACACTTATGAAAATGTAGGAGACTGGTTAAAGCAAAGATAGAAATTTGAAAGCTAATAAGATAAAGACTTGGTAACTAAAATGGTTCCACACACAATCTTGAGAAGCTAAGGTGCTCATCTGTGATGTCATCACATTTCCAAAGGGACAGAGGCATGCCGTCCACAGACACACGAGACAGCGAGTGTGATGCGCATCACCAGGAGTTCCTGCTCCATGGAGCTAAACTGGTTTCTAGACAACGATATGACTCATCTTTGAGGACAGGAAATACACCTTGGCTTGTAGGAACAGAAGAAAGTAGGGCTGTCGAATAAAGTGGATGGGTTTATATCCTTAGAAGGCAACACTCTTATATAACTTACTGCTTTCAAACACATTGTAAGCACACACATGCTTACAAGTGCTACCATACAAAAGCTGAAGAATAAAGTTGTGATTTTTCTTCCTCAAATACTGCATACTTCCCAAATAGAGAAAAACACAGACACACACACTCACAACATACACAAAATTATATATATATATATATATATATATATATATATATATGATGGTAACTTCCTCATAAAAAAACATTACAGCCAAACACGGGAAATAGAGTAGTTTGGAAAAGCAACACATACCTGTAACTCCAATATTTAGGAAGGTGAGGCAGGAAGATCACCATGAGTTCACTGAAGCCAGCCTGGGCTACAAAGAATGTTCAAGGCCAGCTTGAAATAAATAGAAAGACCCTCAAAACCAAACCAAAGGGAGACAAGAAGTGTGGTTAGCTTGGGTTAATTTATTCACTCCATCATGAACTAGTTAAGTCATGATTTGCTGAGTATGAACAGGGTGTTGTGGATATGACTGTTAAGCTTACAGAAAAGAAGTAGCTTAATTATAGCAGTTCTGAAAAACACTTCTGCTGTCTTCCAGCTCTGTGGGGCAGGGGCTAGCAGGCTCCTGAGAGCGATGTGATTTCCCTGGGACCTCTTCACCTATTGATGAGTCCTTTGCTGTAGCAAAAGAGTAAACCAGTCCTTCTCCTGGGTTCCTACACTTCACCTGCCGCCGATGAGCACCGTGAGGCAGGATGTTGCTTCCACCTTAGAAAACTTCAGAGAAAATAAACCCTTTTCATGCCAAACTTTGCACCTGTTGGAACAAATGACTTGGGGATTAAGGCAGGGATGAAAGTGCAAAAGTGGAGTCCCAACAAAAAGAGATAAAGAGCCCAGATTTGTGGGCACAGTAACCATCAGACTGCAATCACACCTGCAAAGATGCCTCTGCAGCTCCTGCGTTCTATAAGATGCCTTTCTTATTTCAAAGGAAGAAAGAGTACTCCTTCATTCCTATCACAAGGCTATGTTTTTCTAAAGAAAAAAAGAAAAACAAAGAAAACTCCATGCTCTGATGTATTCAGAAATAATGAAGTTACTGTAGTCAAGCAAATTATCACACCCATCATCTCAGAGTTACCTATGTGTTTATGCATGTGTGCTTTTGTGCATGTATGTGTGTATGTGTGTGCGTTGTATGGCTATAGCACCTGGAATCCACTCAGCAAAAATTCCAAGTACACTACACAACTAGGAAGACTGTGTGTTGGACACTGGTTTGTTGTTGTTGTTGTTGTTGTTGTTGTTGTTTTTTGGCGGAACCAGGAATTGAACTCAGGCCCTTGCACTTGCCAGGAAAGCACTTATTCCACTGAGCCATCTCCCTGGCCCCTGCATGTTTAGATTAATTTCTCCTATGTATCTGCAAATTTGTTTATGCATAAACAAAAATCTTGCAGTGTTTCCCTCTGTCCCCCTGGGACCATTCTGCCCTCTGGGGTATAGAGCCCAAAGTCCCACACAAAGTGGCTTGACATCTGTTCATTCAAACAGTTGTCTTGAAGTTGTTTTGATACAGTGAGGAAAAACTGGTCTTGGGTGGATGATCTCCAAACAATATAGGCAACCTCCAAATGACATAGGGAAAAACGATCTCTGGACCTGACCTGCACAAGTTTGTGTTCTGTAAAACTGAAGAATTAATTTTAGGAACATATGGAGGTTATGAGCAGGATAAATTTATTGAGAGAAAGAAAGCTCCTGTCCTGAGAGAGGGACAGGAGCGGGGGCAAGAGGGTAGTTCCCCCCCGCAAGGAAGTTGTCTCTTGAAGGGATTTTTATAGAGGAAAACCATTTGGTGAGGTGGGTCTAAGGAGTTGGAGAAGACATGGAAACTTGCTTAGTTGGGCATGAGGTGGGACAAAACTATGGTCAATGAGATTACAAGCACCATTGCTCAGGTGAAATTTATTAAATCCAGTATCAAATGGGAAAGCGAGTCACATAGCAAGCAGACACCAATACGGAACAGGGTCTCTTCCTGTTGGGGGTTGGGCTAGTGACTCATTTGGGCTCTTTCAAGTTGATTGATACTATTTAGGATATCAGTCCCTAATACCCATCCCTAGGGAAGAATGTAGCCGTGCTTCCTCTTTCTGTCTTGGTCTTCAGGTATGGGGCCCATATGCGAGTGTCTGTCTTTTCCAAGTTGCAAAGTCACCTTGTCTTCCATCTTGTATTCTTGAGGGCCTGACCCTGTCTGTCTGCCTATAATATTTCTGTCTAACGTGGCTGCCTGCAACAGTTTGACTGAGCAAGTAGAGAGCCCGATGGTCACAGCCACAGAGGATGTGACCTCTCCATGGTCACAGAGAAAGTCAGGAATAATTGGATCTAGAATTTTCCTCTTCAGACTCCCCATGCTGTGAGGGCTGCACATCTCTAGCTGTTGATTACTGAGTAGCTCGTGAGCCAACATGGCATAAATGGCAGTTCGTGTCCCCAGGTTATCACCATAGCAGCACTGGGATGCCATAACCCAGGGAACTTTACATCCTGGAACTGTCACCATGCCATTACGACATCATAGAATAGCCTCATAATTCTATCCCCTGATATTTTTGAGCTAAGCCCAGAGAGGAAAGTAGGAGAGAATTGGGAGAAATGTCTTGCAGAATTGAAGTTCAAGCAGCATTTCTTCTCTCCTCCTTTGTGACCTTCTTCAGTGGGCTTGTCATCTTATCCATCTTCAGACTAACCTGGAGAGTCATTAGAAGGAGGCAGATCATCAAGGGAACAGGAACTGTCCTGGTTAGTTGCTTTATTTGGGGCACTTCTATGTGAAAACAGGGATAGTTCTGGCATATGCTTGTGTTCAACAGTCACTTTAGGCTTCCCCAGATTTTTCAGGCTTCCCCTAGTGCCCCTGGAAGGGTGGGTCGCAGGATCCTAGGCTGCTGTTCAGAAGCAACTAGGTGTGTGAGGCCTGTCCCCACCACTGGGGGATCAGTGTCTAGGGATGATAATGAATGCCAGTCTGGAAACTGAGGTCACTGTTCAGAAGAAAGAAGTGTTCGAGAACATGGAGGCCTCCATCTTTACTCTTAAAAGGACAGTTCTGTGAAATATTGTAGGGACAGATGAAGTAAGAAATGGCAGTTCGTGTCCCATATTGTAGGGAGAGATGAAGTAACTTCCTACACAAGCACAGCGTATCTACACCAATGTTCTTCATTCCCAAGCCAACTCTGCAAGGGTTAGTGATGATGAATAATAGCTATAATGACAATAATAAATGATAGCTGGCCCAGATGAGCTGTTGCTTAAGAGCTGGAAATAAATGTCTCAAGCATTACCTAATGACTACTAGCAGAGATCAAAGGCAAAGCGTTTTATCATGCTCTGTGAAAACGTTCCCATTTTTGTTTTTGTTTATTTGTAGTTTTTTTTTTATTGTTGTTGTTAAGCAGAGAGTACTAGTTTCCATAATATAACATGTTTTACCTGGGCATCATCATTAATATGGAAATTTTTCTTAAAAGATTTCTCTTAGCATGAAAAACTGACATAAGTAACATAATTTATAATGGCTTGGTAAATTTTTAAGGCTGCCAATTAGAACCAATTTAGTTTGGGCTTAAAAAGGACCCAATTTTGAAGCAGAAGGATTTTGTTGCTGATTTCACAACATAGGGATTATTTCTACATGAGAGACATAGCAGCAGCATACATTTCAGGAAAATATTTCAGAGACACAGACTTATGGCTGGATGAGTATGGCAGATCTGCCTTTGCGTCTTCACCTCAAATTTTCAAATGTACAATGGAATATATAGAAACACTTCTGCTCCAGAAAATGTTTTCTCTTTCCCATTGTACACATTTTATTTTGCTGCAAAAGTATGAGAGTATGTTTGTCAATTCATGTGCACTTCAAGGGCAGTTCATATCTACACTTCAGTGTAGAGGCATCTTCTAGTTTCACGTGCTAAGTAAATGTAACAAAATGTTAGAGGTGGGTTCTGATCAGCCAGTGTACTGTACTGCTCTGCTCTTAGAACCTTGAGGGATTTGCTGAATGGCGAAGGACTTCTCAATAATGATTAATAGAGGCCGGGGAGATGGCTCAGTGGATAAAGCGCTTCCCTGGCAAGCGCAAGGGCCTGAGTTCAATCCCCAGTTCCACCAAAAAAAGAAAATAATGATTAATATTTATCCTTTATTTTTTGTTTTGTACTTTTTATTTTTTTATTTTTTAAATGATTTTATTGAGAAACAAATAACAAAGAGACAGTTTCAAAATTGATTAGTAGGACAGCTTCAATAATTGATACACTGCATACTGTTGTCTTCTTAGTGGTTATTCATAGTACAAGACACAAACATGACATCCTGTCCACAAACACTATTAGAACAAATCTTCCTATTCATTGAATTAAGAGAAAGTATATCTATCCTAACTATTTTGAATATACAGATACAAAATGGTCCTTCATTTGTATCCCCTTCTTTTGTTTAGTTTTGTCAAAGATGGGTATTCCATTGTCATTTAAATATTGTAGGTGCATGAATTCAGCAAAATAGTCCAATATAGTCCAGTAGTCCATAATAGTGGGTTTTCCATAGGATTGACAATGTCAGAAGTTGTTGACTTGAGCCTTTTACAGCTCAGCATATGAATATGACTTTGCTTTTTACACTTCATTTTTATACTTTTCTGCTGGATGGTTAAGACCAAGATAAAGCAAGACCTATATAACAAGAAATGTAATTTTTGTATCTAACAAGGTCAGTCAAAGTAAATGTTTGTTTAAAAAAAAAGGAAAACAAGAGACAAGAAAAACAGTGTCATAGGACTGTCCTGCTACAATGCTGTATATGGTTAGATTTCTAAATTTCTGTGTAAAAATAGGTAATTGCTTATTTCTATTTTTTAATATTTTTATTTTTAAGGGTTTTTCTTCATATACCGTAGGGACTTAAAGTTTAACATATATATCAATACTTGATGGAAAGTACCTGTTCCATGTCATGTCTAAGATGTTTTATATTCAGATAGATAGTGAGGTTAAGCTCAACTGCTATGTTGTAGGGTAATAATAATGAACTTCTCTTCTGGAGGGTTAACAACCTCAGTTTGCAGCCCACAATTAGAGAAAAAGAAGGGCTGCAAGGACAGCCAACATTTTGGCCCTAGCCTTTCAAGGTCAGTGAGGACCCAGGACATAGGAGAACCTATACTATAACATCATTTAACTCAGCTGTGTCCTAAATTTTCTGATCAAGAAGATTATGGGGTCACAGAGGAAAGTGATTGATGATGTAGAGTGTGCCTAAGGAGAGTCACATGGAGAGAAAGCATTCTCTCAGGCTTTCACAGAGAGCAAATTGGTCAAGCAATGGCCATGACTCATCCACATGGCTGACACTAATAAAGAATCTACAGACTGCGGTACATGGTTTCAGGATAAATCCTGAACGATATTTAAATAAATTGAGAATGTTCCATTGCTCTTTAAGCCTTTGGAAAAGTTGACCAAATCCAAAATTTTCATTAATTCAAATACTGTGAAAAGACCTTTTGAAAATTCTGTGGAGAGCTATAATTTCCCAATAAATGTGGATTTTAAAGAGTTCTACAATCAAAAATAAGATTTTCTTATTTCTTAGAGCCAATTTGTGTTTTGCATGAAAGTTTCCTCTAATTATAACATGAAATTCAAATGGATGTCCCATATTCATGTCTCACTAAGTATTTTCTTAAAATTATTTTTAGACCTCTCAGAAATATGCAAGCTGGGTCATGTGTATAAGAAGTTAAATCATTAATCAGAATATGAATTCTGGATGTGAGGGCAATCTGGCTGCAACATCTGTCAGCCCATCACCAGGGTTGATTCAGCTTATCTGGCTGGCTAGGCAGGCGTCCCCTTCCTCCCTCAACTCTCCATGCATCCCTCCCAAAGCTGCGTACTGTATGTAAGAGAATGAACACCCCCGATGGAGGAGGACCATTCCTCCTTCAAGGGGATATGAGTAGCTATGCTTCCCTGTTAGAACCTTTTAACATGCTCTCAAAAACATGAATTCTATCAAAAAATCTTCCTTTTTTACCACTCAATAAAGAATAGTATGAAAATTAAGTGAACTTTTTAGAAAGTCTAAATGAAGCTTGTCATCTTATCCATCACCAGGCTAACCTGGAGAGTCATTAAAAAGAGGCAGAGCATCAAAGGAACAGGAATTGTCCTGATTAGTTGCTTTACTGGGGACACTTCTGCATGAAAACAGAGACAGTTCTGGAATATGCTGTATTTAACAATCAATTTAGGCTTCCACTTGGCAGCCCACCATGCCTACAATTCCAGCCACACAGGAGGCAGAGGCAAGGGGATCCCAAATGGGAGGCTAACCTGGGCAAGTTCATGAAACCCTATCTTTAAGCAAACAATAAAAAGGGCTAGGGCTGCAGCTAAGTGGTAGAGTGTCCCTGGATTTGATCTCCAGCAATGAAAGACAGAGGGAGAAATGAACAGAAGGAGAAATGGAAAGAGGGAGACAGGGAGGGAAGGAAAGGAGAGAGATAGATTCTCCAAAGCACTTGGTATGCCAAACCCTGCATCAGCTTCTGTCTTACTGGTGCTTCTAGGTTTCATTAAGCACATGGATCCTCTCTCAGACTCCTGCCCACTCTTATTGTTTGATCTTAGGCAAGATATTTAGTTTATGTATTCTTGATCTCCTCAGTATATTATTGATTTAGTCACACCTACTTTACCTGACACAGAGGATTGCTATAAATTTTAAATGTAATAGCAAAGTCACTTTATAATATGAGGAAATACTTAAAACTTAGGAGACTGTGGTACCAGATGAGGAAGTAAAAGTAACACAAAATTGTTAAAACATACCTTCCCACTTTCTTTTTAAAACAATCAAATGCTTGAGTAATCACCTAAAAATCCCTACACAAGCATTTCTTCTTTGTCCGTGTCTCTTTCTGGAAAAGCATGGAAACTCTCATTGCCAGAGCAAAAAGACATGCTGTACTCCCAATCTTGTACATGACAGTGGTGTCAGTTTGAAGAGTTCTGGGGCTAAGGATATGCAAGAAAACCATGAATGAAGACAGCAGAATTAAAAGGTTGTGCAAAAAAATATACAAAATAAATAAAATCCATTCTATGAGATATTAGGCAAGGACTTCCTGTGTGCCCTGGACCAGGTAAAGCACAGGAAGTTCTGGCCCATAACAGGGCAAGCACTTCCCCTGAGCTGCAACTCACTGTCCATTCCTTTCTCTTGCTTGTAGGAACTCTTCTCATCAGATGTCATTATCCAAAGCCCTTTAAAAAGACTGTATTGGTATGGAATATTTCGTAACCAAATAGAAATGTTGCTTTCTGCCCAAACCTTTGTTGGGCAAGTATTGGTAAGTACATTATGCTTGTTACCTTACTAAGACATTCTAGCCATGGATTTGATGATGTCGGTGTAGGCACTTTAACCATCTAAGCAAGCACTGCATTTTCCCTTGTTGTCTTACCAATCTGTCTGTCCTTACCTTCCTCTGTCTACTTCCCTCAAGCACTTCCTGTCTTTCTCTAGAATGAATACCATTATAGAGCATTAGACTTTTATATTTAATGTCAGTTTGTCGGCAATAAGGATGGTACTTCCTAAGGTAAATGTTGTGAACATTTTGTTTTCTTTTTATGTAGCAAGAGGTCTGGAACATAAATCACACACAAAAAAAAAACACTTGATATTTAGTGAACCAATCTGACCTGAAGCATGGAGGTACTTTCTCCTCCTTTGATTCTAGTAGACTCCTTTTTCTTTTCTTCATCGCACAAACTAACCTCTTCACCCATCCGTGGTATTTATTACTTTACTTAGTAAATTAAACATATGGAAACCCAGCTAAAATACCATGTCCCTGGGGAACCGAACCTTACCTCTGTGGTACACTGTAAGCCTTCTTTTCATTTCTGTTGAATCTTTGAACACTACTGTTAGGATGCTATGCAGGCATGGCTGTCTCTCCCAGTACTCTGTGAGCTTCTGGAGAGAATAGGCTACTACAAAATGGCAGTATTTGTTCTGAGGTAAAGTAAAAGGAGCTGATAACATCCCCACAAAATTATTATATGGGAAAAGAGTAGGGGAAATAAATAATTATTGATGATAATCCAGTAAATATTATCTTAATGATGGAAAACATGTTTTTCCAACCTGTAAGAGCTAATGGCTATCTTGTTGGAACACCAGGAACCACAGGGTAAATGTCAAATTTGAATAGTTATTTTATTCATGAAAGACATTAACCTTATTTCTTAGAGATCCCAAGCAAATGATTCTGCAAGAGTGAGAAGAGAATGGCATTGCATATGCATTTCTTTCTTTCCATCCTTCTTTCTTTCCCTTACATAATAATTATCTTAATTCCCTCCAAAATATGTATCACTTGCCAACTACATGCTAGACAGCTTCTCTGTGCCTCATTAAAAATGCAAGTAAAATCCTTGCATTAGCACAACTTTAATTCTGGCAGTGGCCCAGATGATAAATATCGACCTAAATAAATGAGAAAAATCCAATCAAAGCTCTGAGTGTGCTGGGAATTATGTGTCGGCATGTTCTTATTGTTGAATTAGATTGCGATGGATGCAGTTGTCAGAAAAGAAATCTCTGAAAAGGTCAGATTTGAACTGAGATGTGGATAACCAGTGGGAGAAGGCAATTTAGAACTGGGGAGAAGAGGGCTGCAGATACAGAGAATGAGCTTGTGGAGGGCAAGAGCTCAGGGTACTGCAGGTACCAAAGGCAAGCTCACATGCTAGTAAGCATGGCATCTAGGAGAGAGTTCTGGAGAAAGACTGGAGGTTAACGTGAGGTCATGTACTTCATGTGAAGGAGCTGAAATACTCAAGTAGAATCATTTTATTCTGCTAATGGGAGCCATTAGGAATCTTAAAGAATGAGTTGTCATGATATGCTCACACTTTTTAAATTCAGGACATACTAAAGTTTGAAAATTAAGGAATAATCAAAGATATATACTAGGCAAATTACAATAGAAATTGATAGTACAATTTTAATGTCACTAAAAAGTTCATGTTAATATCATTGAAAAACATTAAATGATGCCAAATGACCTGCATTGGTTTCCCAGAGTTTCCTAATGGAGTATCAGAAATGAGTGGCCTAAACAACAGAAATGTATCACCTCAGTAATAGTACATGTAGAAAAACACCCCAAGGTATGACATCATAAATATCATCACACTAAAGTTATAAACCAAGACAATTAATAAAATTTACCAAAAATAAAAGATTAATATAAAATAATATATGGGTAGTATTGGTTAATTAGTTCACTTCATACTGAAGCAAAATAATACTAATTATTACTCTAACTATAAAGAAATCCAAGGGAGCTCAATTAACAGCAAAGGGAGATTACAATGATCAAACTCCATATTCTGAAAATAAGAGTCAATTTTACAAGTAACTATACTTTATTTGTAAGCAAATTATAAAACTTACAAAATACAAAGACACAATGTTCACTAAACAGCATTCAATAAATTATAAAATAAGTAAACAGAGAATAAAAGACCCAACAAATATAAATCTTCAAATTTCTCCTTCTTAAATGACTCTTAAGAAGCTATAGAATATTTAAACAATACAAATAATGAAAACAAATCACAAAGCCTTCCTTTTATAATAGATTCAAAGATGATTTAAGGCAAAAGATTTAGTTATTTTGATAAATAAAAATAGTTAAAGTAATCAACAAGCTTAAAGAAATAAAACATGAAATCAAAATAGAAAAATTTAAAATATTATAGTTAAAATACACTATACTATAAAATAGCGGATGATTTGAAGTAAACAATGACATAGAAAAATCAAAAGCTAGCCTAAACAAGGAAAAAATACAAGCATATTAAATAATACATGATAATGAAAAAATCAGTACAGGTAAAAAGGAAATTGAATGATATATGAACAATTAAAGTTGAAAAGTGGATTATTCCCTATGATAAATTATTGAAGGTATCTATAAAACAAACTTAGAACAAATATTGGGAAAAAATAAGGCTGCCAAAGACTTACAATCACCATTACCTCCCACTCCTCTTCTGCATCCCATAAGATGCCAAGGTCAATTCTACCAAATCTTCAAGAAGTGCATATCTCTAATGTTAATTAAATAATTTTACTACAAACAAAATAAAAGAAAGAAAATGGCTAATTTTCTTTTTCAATGAATGTACAATGTCAATATCAAAATCACTAAAATAACAAGTAAAACATAGATTAATGTCTTTAATTTTTGGAAGATAAAACAGATACACAGCCCCAGGATAATAAGAAAAGGAAGGATGAGGTAAAGAAAAAGATGAAGGGCCAGCTAAATAGCTCAGTGGACTAACATGCCTGTTTAGGCAGACACAGGAACTGGGATTTGAACCCCTGGCATGCTGTGATGGTCCCACCCCCAGGGCATGCTGAGATGGCAACTGAGACTGGGCATGGTGGCACTCCCCTATAATCCCAGCACTTGGGAGGCTGAAAATAAGAGGATGACTATGAGTTCGATCTGTGTAGTAACACCCTATAGACTCTGCACTAAAATACATTAAAAAAAAAGAGAGAGAGATGAAGGTGAAAGAGAAGGTAAGGAAAAAGAAAAGGTGGGGAACCGGGAATATGGCTCAGTGGAATAAGCGCTTCCCTGGCAAGTGCAAGGGCCTGAGTTCAATCCCCGGTTCCACCAAAAAAAAAAAAAAAAAAAAAAGAAAAGAAAAGAAAAAGAAGAAGTAGTAAAAGAAAAAGAAAAAGAAAATGTGGATACACCTATCAGCCAGTGAAAGTGGAGTCTCTCTTCAAAACAGGGTGTCTTCCAGAGATTTTTCTAGATTAGAACACAAGGCATCAACCACTCTGCAGTATCTATGGGTTTGAAGCTACAGTGGACCATAAAGCCTGTTTGTAGCCATTAATCCTGATACATCAACTTCATTAAGTTATGAATTAGGAATTAAGGATTAAGAAATGCACAGATTAGTAGAGTTGTCTGCTCCCTAACTACCACAAAGTGAACAGCTAATCTCTGCCATTCCCTTCTCCTTGATGTTCCTATCTTCAAAACTGGAACCTCATAAGACATAAAATAAATTAAGCATTTCCTCCATTAACTTGTGAGTGTCAGATTTTGTGTCTAACAATAGGAACATTGACCAGTCTCAGAAACCGGTACCAGGAATGGGGCCTTTCTGCAAATATAAATGTGGTTTAGAAGCCTTTGGGTCTGGTTTGCAGGAGACATTTGGAACTGTTTGGAAATACATGACAGTAAAGGCCAGGCTCAGGAAGTTTCAGTTTGTCACAAGAACTCCACTGGCAATTGGACTAGAGGTCATGTATTCTGAATTCTGCAAAAACATTGCCTACATTTTGCCAATGTACTAAGAATTTTGGGCAGATTACAATTGGTGGGATGGTAGAAGAATTAACCTGATGAAGGAAATTTTAAGACAGTTCAAGATTCTGGATGCATCCCAGGTACTTCTGGCTGTTTCTACCTAGACTTACACTGAGAATTAGAGGCAAAAGAACAAAACAAATTGAAAAGCTTGAAGTTGGGCACAGAAGAAATCATGTGTAAATTGTCGCAGAGGAGGTGTAGTTGTTAAAAGGATCAGCACCATTAGATAGGAACCAAATACTTTTACAGGGACAAGAAAACAAGATGCCTTTAGGGCATCTCAGGAGTGGAAAGACCCAACACATGAAGGCGTGGAGGGGACAAAGTGTCTGCCTTTCATTTGATAAGAAAGTCCCTTGGATCTTAGCTCAAGAGCAGCTTCCCAGGGAGTTAATTCTCCAGGAAATATTTCACTACGCTCCCTCATCCAGGCACTCAGAGATTAGTGCTGCCATAATTCAACTGGACCTCACTGTTCCTTCTACTGACAGCAGACCTTGTCATTGTCCAGATAACAACTGGTTTTCTTGCACACAGAATTCGAATGTTACTGGGTCAATGAGGCCTCCACTCAGATTTCAAAGGAAGGCTCAAGAAGCCAAGGAAGGAGCACCTTGCATAGCAGAGCATGAGGTTGTGGGAAACCACAGGAATGGGCAGTGGAAGCTGCGGGAAGTTAGAAATGCTGGGAATACACAACATCAGCTGAGGAAAGCTGACAAGTCTGCTGGAGAGAGAGGATTTACAGGCTGAACCCGGGCTACCTATGCCTTTGGAGCTCACATTTCACCCCCATGTGCCTCATGTGCTGCAGAAGGAGCTACCTGTGGGCAGAAACTTTCCCTTCTGGGTTTTGATTATGTTTTGGTTCTATGCTTCTCTCTCCCCATATTACTCCCTTTCAGACTGGAGATATTTATCCTATGCCATTC